TCTGAGGGAAGATGCCCAAACTGCACTGAAGGCATTGGTGAGAAACAGTGGAAATAGTTCAACAAATTGATGCCACTCGAGCTTCTCACTTGTCTGTGCCAAGAAATTTTGCCAACTGATTAGGAAATACCCATATTTACACTCATTCTGAAAATGATCAAATAGAACGTGGAAATCATCAAATAGTATCCGTAATATTTTGCTAATGATAATTCAGAAATCATTGCAGCACTACATTGATAAATTAAAAATTCAAATGGATTCAGAAGAGGACATGGAACAAGGGATATCATTCCTTATATCAGATGAATCTTAGTTCAAAGCAGGGAATACCAGAAAGATGTTCACCTGCTTTGACTAAAAAGCCATTCAACTGTCTGGATCATAACTAATTGTAGAGAACAATACAAAAAATAGGAATTCAATAATACTTCATTATGTTCATATAGAACCTGCACACAGATTAAGAGGAAGTCATTTGAAAAAAAACAAAATATCAGGGTTGTATCCTTTGATCATAATCAATTTGTATGCTGAGCAAATAATTTGAGAATCTAGACTATGTGAAGAAAAACTGCATCAGGATTTAATGAGAACCACAATATGCAAATGAAGTCACCTTGCTTGCTCAAAGTGAAGAAGACTTGAAGCACTTATTGATGAAAATCAAAGATTATAGCCTATAATATGGATTATGCTTCCGTATAAAGAAAACAAACTTCCGTACATGATAACTGGAGCAACATAAATGGAGGAAATATTGAAATTGTCAGGGATTTAATTTTTGTTGGATCTATAGTATCCATGGAAGCATATTCAAGAAATTAATAGCCTGTTGTATTGGGCAAGTATGCTACAAAAGCACCTCACTGAAGTATTAAAAAGCAAAGACATCACCTGAAGACTAAGGTGTCCCTGACCAAGGCCATGGTATTTGTAATCTCTTCATATGAATGGGAAAGCTGAACAGTGAGTGAGTCCATCTGAAGAAGAATCGAGGCCTTTGAATTAGGGTGTTGGCATAGAGCACGAAACATTGCCCCAGACGGCCAGCAGAACAGGGAGGTGTGTCTTAGCAGCAAGAATCGGGAGACTTGTTTGGACGTGTTGGGAGGCACCAATCCATGGAGAAAGACATCATGCTTGGTAAAGTGAGGAGTTGGTATAAAAGAGGAAAACTGAGCAAGACGGATTGGCATAGTGACTACAACGTAGTAACTGTTGTGAAAATGGTATAGGATTGAGCGGTCTTTTATCCTGTTGTTTATAGGGCTGGCTGAGTTGAAACCAACTCGTTGGCACCCAACAGGAACCTTCCTTAACCATCTTTTTTTGACAGGTTCAAACGTGATTTGTGTCAATTCTTTCCTAAGCGTTTGGTAGAATTCCCAGTGAGACATCTGGCTGGTGTTGGGAAGTTTCTGATCAGTCTTGTGTGTGATGGTCCGTTGAGACTTCTGTTTCTTCTTCAGGTCATTTGGCTAAGTTGCATCCTTAGGAGAATCTGCCCAGCTCATCTGGGTTATCCAGTTGGTTGCTGTACAAAATAGCCTGCCTGAAGCTCTCTGTTTCAGTCAGGTCAATTGTATTATTTCCTCTTTAATTCCTATTTTGATTATCTCTATCTTTTCTCTTTGTCAGTTTAACCAAAGACTTTTAAGTTTTATTGAGCTCTTCAAAGGGCATCTGGCTTTGAGTCTCTATTGTTTTTCTGCTTTTTATTATATTTATTTAAGATCTGGTCTTTATTTCTTTTCTTCTGGTTGGTCTAGGCTAAATTTGCTTTTTTCTTTCCATTTCTTGTAGTTGTTTTGAATTAGGTTGCCAGTAGGAGATCTTTCTTCTTTTGTTGTTATTACTACATAGTTTTGTTGTTGCTCTTTATTCAATTTTTTTTTTTTTTAATAAACAGGAACAAATCAGCTGATGCCAGGGGCTTAAGTGCAGAGCAAATGTTTTGGGAATGATGAGGGCAATGAATGTACAAATGTGCTTTACACAATTGATATATGTATGGATTGTGATAAGTTGTATGAGCCCCTAATAAAATGATTAAAAAAGAAAAGATATACAAGAAAAGAATTGTTTTAATTAAAAAAACAGGAACAAAACATTTTAAATGATCGAGAAAGATGTCGTCATCATGTCTCTCCATGCATTTCTCTTTATGTATTGCTTTGAATTACTCTAGTGTCTTTTCCCTTCCATTTGCAGAATCCCCATTGGTATTGTTATAGGTCTGGAGTGTGGTTGTAAAGTCTCTCAGATGGTGTTTATCTAGGAAGATTTTAATTTCACTTTCATATTGTGTTTGCTTCGGCAGCACATACACTAATTTCATCTTCCTATCTGAAAGAATCCTGGTGGCATAGTTGGTTACATGTTGGGCGGCTCACCACAGAGTTAGCAGTTAGTTCTAACCCCCAGCCACTCCACACAAGAAAGAGGCTATCTCCTCCCACAAAGATCTGCAGCTTGAAAACCTTAGGGAGCAGTTTTACTCTTCCCTACAGCATCACTGTGAGCCCTAATGTACTCCATGACAATTGGTTTGGCCTCAGTTTTCATTCTTGAGGGATAGTTTTGGTGAGTATAGTATGCTTGTTGACAGTTTTTGCTGTTATTTCTTTCATCCCTTTAAATACAGCATTTCATTACCTTCGTGTTTCTGAGAGAATTCGGCATTTCGTTTTCATGGGGATTTTTGTATGTGACTGTTTGCTTCTCTTTCACTGTGCATTCAGGATTTTCTTTAAGTTTTAAAGGCTTACTATAATATGTTTTGATGTAAATCTCTGGGTTTATCTTGCCTGAGATGCTTTAAGCGTCTTGAATTTGTAGATCCATATCTTTCATTACAAAGGGTCTTCAGAAATTTCAATTTTTTGATTCCATTTTCTTACAAATTTTTGAAGTCCCCTTGGATGGATTAAATATTCCTTCTATCCCTTTATCCTACCTCCTTCTGAAGTTCTCACAATGCATATATTAGATCTATTGTTTTCCTGTAATTCCATTTCATTGCACTCAGTCTTTTTTAGCCTCCATTCTTGTTGCCCTTCAGCACCTATAACTTTAACTCTTATTCTTTAATCCACCAGTTCTGTCATGCCTAATTAAATCTCTTGGTGGGCCCTTCTATTGCGTTTCTCATTTTAATTATTGTCCCTCTTTGCTGAAACATCTCTTTAAACACTAGATATGCTTTCAGTCCCTGTATTATGTTCATTTGACTGGACCATTATTTCTCGTACTTAGGGTGTTTTGTGATTTTTCGTGAAGCGTTGGAATTTTCAAGGGTGTTAATTTTACCAGTTTTCCCGGAATTTGCTGTTTTTTGTCCATACTACTTTTCTGCAAAAAAACAAACAAAAAAACTTCTCAGGCATGCAGGGCCTTTGACCTTTGCTATGGTCTCCCTACCTTTGCTGTAATAGCTCCTTCTCCCTCTCTGGTATAATTAGACTCAGAAATTCCAAATCTTGTTGGGTTTCAACCGTCAATCATTCCCAACACATTAGTGAACGTGCTGTTGTAAGTCTTACCACGAGGGGGCACTAACACCCAGGTAAGATACGTGCTAAATGCTCTGTCCACCAGGAAGTTCAGTCATCTCTCTGGTTCTCATTCCTTTTCCTTCTCTGCTTCTACAACCGCGTTATTTTGGTCGGGAAACCCCTTAAGGACTGGGTGTTACGCTCTAGTTTTGCACAAGGCTTCTTTCCGTGTTTTGTAGAGCTGGGATTCAGGGGAAAAACGGACAGACTTGCCTTCGTTTCAGGAGGAGTAGCTGGCACTCCCCAGGAGTTTCAGAGCCCTCGTGGCCTAGACCCACCTCCTGACTCCTCTGTGCGGAACCTGCTGTAGGAGGTTGTATCAGTCCAGCAGCCAGCAGCTCAACCGGCTGGGCCAAGTGGTCAGTCAGTGACACTTTGTGTGGACCTCCATGGAGGTCCGCCTTGATGCTGTGAAGCAAGCCTTCCCTGCGGCGCACTGGTGGTCAGTGGTGTTTGTGGTCAGGTGCCATTGAGTCAGTTCGACCCATAACGACCCTGTGTAAAACATGTTGAATCACGGCCTGCTCCCACGCCAGCCTCACAATGGTCCTTGTGTTTGAGCCCTTGGTTCCAGCCAGTGAGTGTAGCCTGCATCCTAGCACACAGCCAGCCTCAGCACCAAGACGGGTCACAGTCGGACCTGGCCTCACCTGACTTCCTTGGAGATCTGCCGTGTTGGTTTCAGAGGCTGGAGCTGTGATATGCACAGGGAGGCTGGGAGGCTACTGATTATGAGAACAGACCCCATTCTGCGGACCTTCTGTAGACTTTTGCCACAGGCTTGCAACTAACAGTGTCCAGGTAGGGGAGGGTCTGAGGTACTTCAAATGGACCCCACAGGGAGGCTTAGGTCTGTCTCTTTGTACAGGCAGGGGCTATGTTGGTCAGAGAAGTATCCTATTTGATGGACTATTTCACCAGTTCACAGCAGCTGATGGCCTGCATGACTGGATGGAGGGACAGGGAGACGGGAAGAATTGTCTTCCAATGGTATGCAACTTTTTGTTGACTCGTTGATTCTTGCTTGTGTGCAGTTCTACACTGATTTCTTCTGCTCCCTGATTCAGAGTCCCCCAATGCCAAGTATCGTTTCCAAAATTTTAGTCAGAGCCACAATGAAAATTAGGAGCCCTGCAAGCAAAGTGATCACGCTTTGGCTGCTAACCACAAGGTCAGCAGTTTGAAACCACCAGTTATTCCAAGGGAGAAAGAAGGGGCTTTCTATTCCTGTAAAGACTTGTAGTCTCAGAAACTCACAGGGCAATGCTACCTTGTCCTTTAGGGTCTCTGTGAGTCGGCATCAGCTCGATGGCAGTGAGTTTGGGTTTGGATAATGAAAATTAGAGCGGGCCTCAGTTTCCGTTTCCAATGCTCCATTTTGGGACCTAGACTTTTTATACTTCATATTCTGAGTCTTTCAAGCTTTCTTATTTTTTGACACAGACTTTGCTACCAGGGCTTGCTGGCCCTTCTGGAGAGGCAGTGAAGTCCACAATGGGTGTGGCCACCTCGTCTACTTCTGGAAGTGACAAAGTTTACGCTCACCAGATGGTTCGCACAGATTCCCGGGAACAAAAACTCGATGCCTTTCTGCAGCCTGTAAGCAAGGCTCTGTCCAGCCAGCCCCAGGTCCTGGCCCCAGAAGACAGCAGAGACAGCCCCAGTGGCTCTGCCCGACAGCAGGATGAGGAGATGCCTGAACTTCCAACCCTTGCTGAAGCAGCTGCCAAGGAGCAGGGCTTGGAAGGGGAGCCCACGCAGGGGACTTCAGAAATGTCAGAGACGAGAGGGCCCACTTCCAATCCAGGCAATGCCAGGTATGGCCCTCTGGGGACAGTGCCACTTGCCTCCCTTGTTCTTTAATAACTTTCTGATGTTTAATTTTCATGAGCCCCTTGCATCTTCCCTCTGCCTGACCTCCCTGCCACCTCTACTGACCAGGCAGTGCCATGGCCTTGCGCACCTTATATCCTTAACTGCGGCTTTGAGAGTCATACACTGTTGTCTTTTGAAACAGGTTAATATCATAGTTTGAAGCCTTAGTCGAAAACACAGCAGAAAAAAATCTGCAGAGCGAGCCTTTTGCTAAAACCTTAAAACAGCCCCAGACTTAGCTAGAGGCAAGCCTCACCACCCCAGGGGTTTTCTTTTATTCAGTCCAAAGTTGCTTGGGCATCTTTCAGAAAGAACACATGTTCTCAATCCAGTTTATCACGTGAGCCGGTGGTGGATGCTTGCTGGAGAAAGGGCATCGCCACAGCCGTACTAAAGACTGTTGTGTACTTTTGAGAATTCCCAGGGTGCATGCTGAAAATGCTCTACAGACCCTATCTCCCTGAAATGTGTACTTGCCTCAATGTAGATAAGTACTGCCCTGGAGCTCAGGGTCAAGACATTTGCACAAGGTTGTATGTACCCCTACCTGGTGGCTGAGTACCAACTCCCTGGCAATCACTGGCCATTTGAACTTGGATGAGCTGCTTCACTTCTCTGTATTTTAGTTTGCTAATTTCTGAACCAGTCTATATAGATGACCTCTAAAGATCCCCCGCCCCACCTCCCCACCCCACCCACCACCCCCACCTCCAGAGAAGAATAAAGAAAACCACAGTTTATTGAGTAGCTCCTCAGTGCCAGGTTCTTCTCATAATTAATGCAAATAATGCTCTGAATAGCACAGCTAGGTAACTTTGTGTTTCTGGTCATCACTTTGGGAAACTAAAGCCACAAATGATTTTCCCTCCAGCTGCCAAAGGAATCACTGTAAACTAGAAATCTGGGCCATTCCTTTGCTGAAAACCTTCCGGTAGCTTCCCACTACACCCAGCATAAGACTGCCCTTCACCTTGCCCTCCTGGCAAGCAGTGCATCCCTCACTTCCCTCGTGCTCACAGCCACACTGGCCCTAGAGCTGTTCCTAAACCCACTGAGCTGCCCCACTGCTGTGCACCAGCTGTTCTCTGGGTCTAGACATCCTCTGGCTGCTTCTCCCTCAGGCCTCAGCTGAAATGATGCCTCTTGCCAGAGGTCCTCACTGTCCATTTCGTCACAGTTTCCCTCCTCCCACCTCTCCATCCCCCTTCCTGTTCCCTTGTTCTATTTTCTTCTTAGCACTTTGTCACTGCAGGACGTGGCCTCTGTTGCTTCACACACACACACACACACACACACACACACACACACACACACACACACGCACACACACTGAGAGTTAAACATCATGAGTGTAGGCACCTTCTCTGTCTTGTTTGTTGCTCTGTGTAGTTGTTACATCACAATGTCTGATAGCCAGCTATATGGGAGGAAGGATGGATGGATGGATGGGTGGGTGGGTGGGTGGATGGCTGAGACGTGTCAAAGTAGGTTCACTTGTAGCTAGATTTTATAGTCCCCCAATACGTAGCTGCACGGCCGGCTACAGAGATCTGAGAGTTATCAAAAAGCAGTGTTTAGGAGGCTGGACTGCTCTTGCTGGCCAGCCACCAGCACAATGCTCTTTCTGCAGATGTGCCACCACAGAGGAGTTGTGCCCTTCTCCATATACAATATGTGACTCACTCAGGGGGGAAAACACAATTTAAAGAAAAATAACGATCCTCTAGTTTCTTGTCTTCACTGCAGAAAGAGACCCCGGGAAGACTGTGATGCAGAAATGGTGGAAGATGATTCTCAGAGGGAAATGACAGCCGCCTGTGCCCCGCGGAGAAGAATTATTAACCTCACCAGTGTTTTGAGTCTCCAGGAAGAAATTAATGAGCGGGGCCATGAGAGTAAGTCAAGAGGCCTGCCTGGGGCTTCAGGTGCCTGAGTGGCTGTCCACAAGGGCTTGGAAATGCTGAAAGCATTGGTGCTGCCAAGATGCTGAACAAGCCGCTTTCTCCTTGACCAACATCTTTGAGGCATTGTCTGAAAGACACTTTTTCAGTTGGAAGTTCGGTTGTTAGGTACGGTCTGGTGCCGACTCACTGCAACCCCTCTGCTCACCAGTGCAGACCACTGCCCGGTGCAGCCCTGTCTCACAACTGTTGTCATACGTGGGTGCGTTGTTGCAGCCGCTGTGTCAGTCCATCTCATTGAGGGTTTGTCGGCCTCTTTCGCACTCACTTTCTGCTTGACCAGGTGGGATGTCCTTTTCCAGAGATTGAGCTCTCCTGCCACGTGTTCAGTGTACGTGACACAGAGTCTTGCCACCCTCACTTCTAAGGCGCAGGCTGGCAAGACAAGTTGATTCCTCTGCCAGTCCCGAGTGCTGCTTTCACTGTTCCTCATCAAGACTAGAATCCAGCGGTAACGATTCTTTGGTCTTCCTTCGTCATTGTCCAGGCAATTGAAAATACCACGGCTTGGATCAGGCCATGGTATTTTCAGAGTGACATTGTTGCTCTGTAGTACTTTACATAGGTTTCCCCCCAATGCAGCACACTGTTTGATTTTCATTTGCGAGGGAAGCATTGTCTCTGTTTGTTTGAGCTAGCATCGCTAGGCTCGTTCACAGAGAAGTCATTGGAGTACACTGGTACACTAAATAATCTTGAGCTTGCTTCTGAAGCTCAGGACACAGAACGAGCCCACATGGGCTGTGGGGTTGCTGACAGTGCGCAGGCTTTCGAAGCAGCCCTGGAATCCAGTCCTGGCTCCACGGCTTTCTCTCCTGTGACTTCTCACTCCTGCCACACTTTTCATCTGTAAGAAGAGTGGTGTGTTGATTAGAAAGGAAAGGTAAGATAACACTCAGAATAAAGTAAGGAAGAAATAACAAAAACCAAACTCACTGCCATCCAGTCAGTGCCAACTCATAGCAACCCCATGGGAAGAGGTAGAATGGCTTCTGTGAGTTTCAGAGACTGTCATTCTTTATGGGAGTAGATATCCCTGTCTTTCTCCCTCGGGGCAGCTCCTGGTTTCAAACAGCTGACCTTGTGGATCACAGAAAATAGCCAACTGCCTTATATCCCCAAGATAATAAACTTAGTAGGAAATAATTATCTACCTCAGAGATAGCTTGGAAAGTGCGTCCGTGTTGAGGTAAATTTTAGTCCTGTTTCTTCAAAACTAACTTCATGATTTTACGAATTAACGCGGTCTGTTCGCCAACCAGAGACATCTGGTATTGCAGTGGTTAAGTGCTCGGCTTCTAACCAGATTGGCAGTACGAACCCACCGGCTGCTCCGTGGGAGAAATACGAGCAGTCTGCTTTTGCACAGGTACCAGCCGTGGGAGTCATAAGGAGCAGCTCTGCTCTATCCACAGAATCAACTCGCCTCCAAGAGAGAAAAATGAAGCTATCTGTCCTTATAAAGATTAAAGCCTTAGGAACCCCATACCGGGCCACTGTAAGTCAGAATTGAATTGATGGCAACATTCTGGGCTAAGTTTTACCAGTTCTAGACGTAGCTTCTCCTAGGAGGGCTGGTGTCTGTAGCCCAAGAAAGAAGCCGGGGGTGGTGGGGGGAGGATACTTACGATGGCATGTTCTTAACTGCACTTATTTGATCCGTGTGTGTATGAAGGGGTTGGGTCTCTAGCTCAGCGCCTCCTCTTTGGAGCACCTGGCAGGCATGCTCGGGGCATCCGTGAATGAGAAGCAGCCTGGCAGCTGAAAGCACTAAAATCTTTACCCAAAGTTGTACATTCAATCCAGCAACTCTTCTCTTGAGTCTGGTGGATTTGCCATTTGGGGAAGGACCTTTTCAACTAACAAATGAGTTCATTTTGGAAGGTTCAGTAGCCAGCCACACATTCCATGGAATTAGGCTCAGCTCAGGGACCCATGGTGACTGCACTTACTCATTGCTGTTTGTGAGCCCCCCCCCACCAAAAAAAAAAAAGATGGGTAACATTATGAAGAAGCCCAGAACCCTTCCTAGTGCTTATGAGAAACCTGTACATAGACCAAGAGGCGGTCTTACAAACAGAACAAGTGGGTACTACGTGGTTTAAAATGAGGAAAGTGTGCACCTAGGCTGGGGTCCCTTCACCATAGTGATTTGCTCTCTAGGCTGAGCAAACCCGAGAGGCTGGACTATAAGAGAAAGAGCGTGGCTTCAGGATCAGAAGAAAGCTTATTGACAACCTATGATCAGCATACAGCAGTGAGGCGGGCCTGACGCCCTCTCTGTTGATGACCAAAGATGTCAGCCTCCACTGTGGAGGACAGCTCATTTTAAAGGAAACAGAGTCTGTCCAGCTGGGCCAGTAAAAGCAACCTCACCGTAACAAGAGAAAGGGAGCGGTTGTCCAGGAATCCATTTTGCATGGACACACAGTCCACACCCATGGCAACAGCATTCAAGACCTCAAATGATGCTGCACTGGGCAAACCTGTTGTAGAAGATCTCCTTCAAGCGCTGCAAAGGCAACAATGTCACTGTGCAGACTACGGTGCCCCTGACCCAAGCCATGGTATTTTTCACTTGTACCTCATCTGCATGTGAAAGCTGGACAGTGAATAAAGAGGACCATAGGCGAGTTGAAGCCTTTACGTTGTGGTGTTGGTGAAGAATATCGATTTACCGTGGTCAGACCAGAGAATGACGAGTCTATGTTGGAAGAAGTACAGTGGGAATGCTCCTTAGAAGCAAGGATGGTGAATCTTTGTTTTGGGTTCTTTGAACATGTTTCCAGAAGGGACAACTCCCTGGAGAAAGGCGTCATGTTTGGAGGGTCATTGCAAGAGCAGGAGACCCTCAATGAGAGGTTGACGGCGTGGTGCAGCTGTGGCTCACGTGTGGCAACAATTGTGCTGTGCTCTGCTGAGCATGTGTTGCTCTGACTCAAAACTACTACAAGTACGGAAGAGGAGAATGGCAGTCACTGGCTGTATTGGCTTGAGAGACAAAATGTGCTTCCACAACTTCATTCCGTTTCCGTGGCCTTTGGTGACCAGCTCCAGATCCAAATACATCTCCCCATTAGATAGCTTGTCACTAGATGTGTCAGTCTCTTTCCCCGCATGAAATCAGCCCAGCAGCCGTGTCTAGGGTATCCTCTGTACAGGTAGAGAGGGGAGTGAGCCGGGGCTGCCGCCTTAGAGGACATCGCCGTGTGAGGTAGGGGGATGGGTAGTAACTGGCTGCAACGCAAGGTATCTTGAGAAGTTCTGTACAGAAAACAGCCCATTTCAGTAGGGACCAAGGGAAAGCTGGTGAGAGATGGTTGAGAAGACTTGGCAAACTTACTATCTGCGCCCCTGGCACACAGAGGCTGCTGGAGACTGCTTCTGTCCAAATGGGCATTAGGAACCAGAGGGCTGGTGGCCCAGCCTTCAGCTTTGGCTTCTCTTGCTACTTCTCAGGCAAACGTGCCAAGCCCCAACGTCATGGTTATGATTTCAGACGTGTGGTTTAGCTTTGAGGCACAGAAGGCTCTGGTCCCATTTTGCTTCAGCGGAATGGCAGGGAACTGACCCCAGCCTCTGGGTGCTATTGGGACATTGTGGTAGGCATGAAAGACAGGGCCTTGGAATCTGGACAGGAGACTTTGAAGAGGGTCCGTGGAGCTTAGGCAGCTATCATCTTCTTTAATGCACTGCCTGAGTAGAAGAGCAATTCAGAAGGTTGTGTGTAGTGAGCACCCCCTACCCCTGCCCACTCCTCGCTGGCCGGGCTGCCTGTCAGTAGCTCTGGATGCCCCTGAGCACACCATGGAAAATGCTTATGGAAAAATCCCTGACCCTTTTCAGTGGCTTAGCTAGACTGCTTTCTCTTTCCCCCTGTGCCTCATTACTCAAGCATATCTGGTGTTCTCCAGCTTTTAAAAGAATCAGTTTCCGCCTACACAGAACATCCTGTAGACACATTGAGCTTCCAGTGAGAACAGAGAGGAACACTATTTATAGAATGAAGAAAACACACTCTTTTTATCGGGGGCGCTGGGTGGGGGCTGCAGAATTTATGTAACAACGGAAGACTTCCCATGTGCACAAGCTAGAAACCAAAACATTCGTGGACGTGTGATGTGCAGGCTTATCACTCCCCGGGCCCACTCCCTCCCCACTTTGGAGTAATATTCCTTCCATTAAAAAGAATGTTGGCACAAACATAGATGTATGGTTAACTACAAAAGTATTTTTAAAGTGGATGTAGGTTCTAAAGAAAAACAGATGCCCATTTGTACGAGATCAATACCTGCTTAAGAAAGGGCATTACCTTCACCTTGGACACTTTCATGAGGCTCCCACCTCTGGCTGCCTGCATAGCAGGAGCTGTTCCTTGCTCATTATATTCTCTTTCTTTTTGTTATGGCTTTACTACCTCTACTTAGATCCCCAATTTGTTAAGTTTTAAAGGAGTTTGAGAGTGGGGTGGAGTCAGTTTCGACTCCTGCCGACCCCATAGGTAGCACGGAGCAGAACTGCCCCAGAGGGTGTCCTAGGCTGTCGGCTTACGGTAGCACACTACCAAGTCTGTTCTCCCCCAGAGCTGCTGGCACATCCAAACTACCGACCTGGTTAGCAGTCAGGCACGGCACCTCTTCATCACAAGGTCCATTATTCTGCAAGTTGCTCTTATTTGTATTTGAGATCTATAGGTCGGCCTTTACAGCCATCTCTTTGTACTTATATCCTCCAGCTCATCCGTCATGTGGCCAATAGCTCAGGTGTGTTGTTTCCCCACAAAACGTCTCATTGCATGAGTGAGTATGCAGCATGCTTGTTCGTTCACTCTGCTGGGGGCTCTTTGGAGTACTCCGATGACCTCTTTCCCTGTCTTCTTCCCATACCCCCTGCCCCCTGCCCCTTCTCGGTGCCGCCCTCTCTGCCAAGAGTCAGTTCATTACTGGGATAATGGGTGAGAAGCCTGAGGATTATCACTGTTGGGTTGTGTGATATGCCAGTTGCTTTCCAATGGGATGGTGTTAATTTACATTCCTGCCAACTGTGTGCAGAAGTTCTACTTATTACATGCCCCCCCCCACAATTTTTTTATTATGTCAAGTATCTCATCAATTTGGTCATTATTAAACAGTATCTTATTTTTTGAAAATTTTGCATCTTCCTACTGACTATTAACCACCACCACCACCACCACCCCTACCACCCCAAACTAAAACCACCACCATCAAAGGTAATCTGACTCAGAGCAACCCTACAGGACAGAGGAGAACTGCCCCTTTGGGTTTCTGAGACTGTGAGTCTTCGTGGGAGCAGACCACCTCACCTTGCCC